AGCATATGATCAAGAACCAATGGTACTGGAGGAGGAAGTTCAAGCTGCACTGAAGGCATTGGAGAAAAACAAGGTTCCGGATTGACAGAATAACAGTTGGGATGTTTCAACACACAGATGCAACACTGGAAGCGTCTATGCCAAGAAATTTGGATAACAGCTACCTGCAACTAACCGGAAGAGATCCATATACATGCCCATTCTAAAGAAAGGTGGTCCAATGGAATGTGAAGGTTACCAAAACAATCCAAAAGATTTTCTTCAAATATGGGTTGCCTAAGAAAAGAATCAACCATTTCATAAAGAATCAGGTATTATACAGAAAAACCTAAATACTTTTGAAACCTAAGGTTTTAAATTTTAGACCCAGTGTAACCATATTTATTTGCATCATCGGAAGAGACACAGGAAGTTATTGGTGGAATACCAATGAGTGAGAATATAGGTAAAAGGGGAAATACAGTTGTATAACTCTCATCTGTATTGTACAGAGTCCTTAATTTTTTTTTATTGTGGTAAATATATTTTTAAAGCATAAATACTTTGCAAAATGTTCAAAAAATTCCAGTTCCCATTTTTATACTGTATAAATAGACATGAAATGGTTATCGATTATCTTTATTTAATATTTATTTTATTTTAAGGTACTGTTATACTGCAAGATTTTGATAGGTAGGAAAAAGGAGCTAGATAAATTTTATTTTACTTTTGATCTCTGCCTAAATTTGCTCTGTTTTTTAGATGTTGGAACTTCTATCGTATATATTTTCTATTACTTTGCAAAATTCAAATACATGTCGGCAGAAAGAATGACTAAAACACCTGTAAAAATTTGGATTTTTATTGCTTCCCTATACAGTTAGTAACGTCCTGTCTTGCTGATCACATTCCATGCCATTTCTCTCCTAATACAGGTCCCTTTCTTGAGATACTGACTTAGGATTTCATGCTTCTTTTTGAAAGAATAAGTGCTAATTAATATAATGTCTCATCAAAGATCATTGTACTTAGAATATTTATTTGCTATCTTCCCTTATGTCAGAGAGCCATCTGTGACAAAATCTATACAAGAACAAGAGCAAGACAGGCAATGGCTGACCTTACGCTCCAACTGGGAGAGCCTCAATGGAACCACTGTGCATGAACTGCTGGTAAAAGGGTAAGAAATCTCTAACAAGAGCTCTGTGGAGCAGGAGGGCCTTTCTTTTGTTTCCAACTGAAGATAATCTAAATTTGTCACATTAATGAACAGCCTCCATAAAATGGTTATTGGCCTTTATAGGTCAATATTGTTTGGTTTTATTTCTTTCTAGACATAAATTTTCTTCTTTTGGCTAATTGCTTTTTTTTTTTCCTTTTAAATGATAATTACGGAGACATTGTGTGGTAGGGAGGGAAAAATTTGGTTTCTAATCTTGGAGTTTTTTTCCACATTCCATTTGAACTAAATTCTCTTGTCTTCATTTCCTACATTTACTGCATGGAACTAGTTAATGGAGGGAATTGAAGTCATAATAAGTGATAAAACTTGGAGAGTCTGAGAGAAGAATCAAAGGCACAGAATGAAGTTACTATCAAGTGGCCTTGAAAGTACACTTCTGAAAAATTTCCCCTCAAAAGTCATAACATCTTAAACAGGGTTGCTTCCCTTGCCTGTGGTGAGGTTTTGGGGTGGGATGCAGGAGGAAAAATTAAGAGAATTAACAAATACAATACTTATTAAATGCTTATTACATAGCTAAGTAGTTTTACATATATTAACTCATTTAATCCTTACAACAGACTCGAACTAGGAATCTTTATCCCATTTTTTAGACAAGAAAGCTAAGGTTTAGGATAAATAATTTTCTCAAAGCTCACATTCCATAGATACCTGGTAAGTGGCAGTCTCTGAATTCAAACCAAGTTTTTCTGACTCCAAAGCTTATAATAAGTGCCAGGGAAACTGCCTCTTAAGAATTCCAAAGAAGAAAACTAAATGCGGACCATTTCCCTTTAAGATGTCTTGACATTTTCTCCACTGATTCAATATCTATCGTCTCTTCAGTCAGATTTTAAGTATTTGTCAATTGAAGTACTTCCTCTAAAACAATGACCTATACCTTTCAACAGTGATTTGTTACCTCAAACTGGGAATGCCAGAACAATCATTTCAGATCAAATTAATTGCTCAATCTAAATTGGGAGTTAGTAGACCTGGTTCTAATCCTAGCTTGCTTACTAGTTGTGTGATCTTATGTAACACTTAAGACCACAATTTTCTATAAAAGAAAGAGGTTAGGATGGATAGTCTTTGCTGTCTTTTCCTACTCCTAAAATCTATCATTCTGTGATTTAGCAAATAATGACTCATCGACTATCTCCTCTGTTCCAGGCTCAATTCTAAACTGTGAGGGAACGTAAAAATGCACAAGAAGGACAAAGGTCCTGGTCTCAAGGAACATGCATTTTATGAGTGGGGAGAGAGACTGTAAACTAATAAACAAAAAGAACTTTAGACTAAAAAAAAAACAGAACTTCTGGCAGGTGCTACAAAAAATGGATAATTATGCGATGGAGAGTAAGGAGGAGATATGACATGATAATATGGGAAGGTAAAAAGCAAATGTGCTTTTTCGGTATTATATATAGTATACAAATAATTACATATATCCCCATGCAAATTTAGCAGGGAACGAAGCACAATAAATCTTCAAAAAGGAATATGGAAGTGATATATGTAGGAATTTTTTTTTCTGCTGAGAGATCTAGGATTTTAAGCACGTCCCATATTTTTGAAAGCCTCAGTGTGTTTTTTCTCTTTCATTTAAATTGTAAATAGATGCCTCTTGGTTGGAGGAGAACTTAGTGGTTAAAATTTAACCTGCCCTAGTCTTTTATATGTAAAGTCACTATGAGTTTGAGCCGACTCAATGGCACTTAACAACAGCAAACTGAATTTTTTTGTACAGTCACATTGATAATACCTAACCATAGTCCGTGTTCTTGCTTTCAAAGGTTAACTCTGATTGTTAGAATGTTCTTCCTTTCCTGAACCCACACTTTCTATAAGTTCTAACTGTTGGTTCTGATTCTGCCATCAAGAGTGGCATGGAAGAAATTTTCTCTTCTTCCTCCTATCTGCTCCTCATATTCCTGAAATCTAGTCTGAAAGTCTTGACGGGATTGTTTTTCAGTCTAAATATTCACTTCCTTGATCAGAACTTTAAATTTTTGAAGTAATATTTTAATTCCTCTCAGACTTGCAATTTTTTTTAACCCATGCTCACTCTCCATCGGCATAAAAATCTGACATGCTCTCTCCTTATCATAGTTTTGGAGAAGTAGCCCAATTCCTCTCCTTCCCTCTTCCTACCTTGAGAATCGTGGTTTGAGTCAACATTCTGGGTGATACTGTCAGCCAAGACAATGTTGGGAAACTTTGCTGACACTAGTTTCCAACCTCCCCACCCCCAATGTGAAATTACATAATGATATTAATTGAACTAAAAAAAAAAGATTACATTCACCATATATCCCCACCCCAGGTGATATGAGACCATACCTCTGCCTTGAAAATAATTCCTGCACTAAGAGTAATTGTTTTTGCAAAGAATAATAGTTGAATCTCTGTCTTTTGCCTTGCACTGGTAAAGTGTTTGAAGTGAACTTAATATTATTCCATTTTATATTTCCAAATGTAGGCCGTCTTGTCAGAGCAGAAGTATGATTTCTCTTCTGTGTACTGAACAAGGTGAGAGAATCAATGATGTAGCAAAGGGATATGAAATTAATTTAACTGGGTTGGCTTAGAGGGAAGTGATTACTTGTACATGACAGCCAAGAGTCTAGTATTTTGCCGTGTTTGGTAATGAATCACAAAGTGTGTCTTGGCCTGCTCCTTGGTAGACTGTGGTCGCCGCCCTGCTGCCCGAATGAACAAGAGGATCCTGGGTGGTCGGACGAGTCGCCCTGGAAGGTGGCCATGGCAGTGTTCCCTGCAGAGTGAACCCAGTGGACACATTTGTGGCTGTGTTCTCATTGCCAAAAAGTGGGTTCTGACAGTCGCCCACTGCTTCGAGGGGTAAGCTGCACCATTTCTTTTTTGCTTTTTCTGAACGTAATGCTTTTGTCACTTGGGTATTCTCAATGGCATATGTAATTCTGTAAAACCAGTTCAGTGCAAAAACCACCATTGATCAACTTCCCAGGCCTCTATCTGCCCAGACTTTTCTATCCTTGGTGCTGCTATTCAATACATGTGCCACTCAATTACTGGCAATGTATATACATTGCTTATGATATATATCCTAAGGAGGGAGGAAGAGGAAGAAGTTTAGAAGGCTTACTCTCCAGCCAGCATCACTCTTTTTTCTGGTCTTCTTAAATCCATTGGATACATAAGAATTTAAAGAGATGATTTACTTGGATACTACAGTGAAGTTAGGACATTGGAGGAACTGGTGAGTAGTTTAGCAAGCCGAGTTAAAGGTACAATATGCCTAAGGGGAACCAGAGTGAGACCAAGGGGAAACCTACCCCACAGCAACAAATGTCACTGCAGAAGGTCCATGTCTATTGCTCCAACTATCTAATGCTGTGTAACTTAGGGGCATAAAAGAACCATTTATTATGCTCACAGATTCTGCGGGTCAGACATTTAGACAAGACATAGCTGGCAAAGTTGGTCTGTGCTCCACATTGTCTGGGGCTGGAAGATTTCAAGGCTGGGAGCTGGAATCATCGCAAGTCTGGCATTTGTTGCTCTCTGTTGGATGGGGACCTCAGCTTCTCCACATATGGGATGCACAGCATAGTGGCTGGCATCTCCCAGAGCAAGCTTCCCAAAAAGGAGGCAGAAGGAAGTTGGGTCACCTTTTTTTGACCCTGCCTTCAGAGTTACATACAATCATTTCTGCTATGTGGTTGGTCAAAGCAGTCACAAACCCCCACCCAAAAGGAGGAAACACTGACCTCCCCTCTCAGCAGGAGGAGCTCAAAGGATTTGAGAATATATTTTAAAAGCCATTATACCATCCATTCTGTTTATTTTAAATAATTTTACTTTGTTTAAAAGTAATATTAAATACTAGCCAAAATTTATGACAGAAAAATGCAATTTCTTTTCTTTGCCTATTTGGCTATTATAATTCTTTCTCAGCTTTGCCACTGATTGGCTATGTGACCACACATCAATTCATTAACTTCTCTGGGATCAGTTTCCTTATCTGTGAAATGAGAGAAATAATGGTCCTTACCTCACAGGACTGGTGTGGTCAGTAAGGGAAATAGTCTATTTAAACCTTGAAGAATCATGCATGGTAATCAGTAAGGCCCTTTTAAAGGTAAACTCTTTTTTAAAAAAAATATTATTGCTAAAAATATGCACTTATAATTTCTCTTAACATTAGGGCATGCATATTTTTGTATTTTGCTAGCTTTTTGTTTGTTCATTTGTTTAAATTTTATTGTGGTAAAATATACATAACAAAAAGTTTACATTTTAACTATTTTTAAGTGTACAATTCAGTCACATTAATTACATTCACCATGTTGTAATACCATCACTACTATACATTTCCAAAAGTTTTTCATCACCCCAAACAGAAACTCAGTACCCTTCAGTAATAACTTCCAATCCCTCCCCAACCCTAGCCCCTGGGAAGCACCTAATAAATTTTTGTCTCTAGGTATTTGCCTATTCTAGGTATTTCATAAAAGTGGGATAATACAAATCATGTTCTTTGCGTCTAACTTATTTCACTCAGTGTAATGTTTTCAAAGTTCATTCATGTCATAGCATGTATCAGAATTTCATTTCTCTTTATGGCTGAGTCATATGCCATTCTAAGTGTATACCACATTTTGTTTACCCATTCATTTTTTTCATGGACACTTGGGTTGTTTCCACCTTCAACTATTGTGAAGGGTGCTGTAATGAACATTGCTGTGCAAGTAGTTAGCAGTGTTTCCATCTCTTCCAACACTCTCCTTTACTTCTCCATCACCCTCAAGGTAACCTCTGTTACAACCTGGTGGATGTTGCTCTACAATTATAAACGTACATTTGTCATAGGGTGTCATTGCTTATTTTTACAATTTGGAATCGCAGTACATACTTTTGTTTGTAAGTTGCTTTTCTCATTTAGCAATATATCATACCCATCCCTGCAAGTTAGTTGGCACAGCTCTAGCACATTCTTTTTCAAAGCTGAATGATAATCTGTAATAGAGATTTACTATAATTAAAAAAAAAAAAAAATTCCCCAGTTGATGGATATTTGGGTTAGTTTCGGTTTGCTGTGATGTTAATGCTGCAATGAATCTCCCTGTACAAATTAACTCACCTACTGTTACCCTTGTTTTTAGAGGACAGAGTTCTAGAACATAGTATATGTCAGGCTGCACAGAAGGGATACAGAGATGGATACACGTTTCCTTCCTTGAAAAGCTAACCAAGTGAAGAGACAGACATTTAAGCATATAATTAGAACACAATATGGCTAGTGATTATAAAATGGAAATTTGCAAAACCAGTTATTAGATTGCTCTTTTGTGGAAAATATAAAAAATTAAATAAGTGCCTCTTCTTTGAGAGATTTTAATGTGCAAGAAGAAGAACTGGTGCCTTCGAATTGCAGTGTTGGCGAAGAATATTGAATATAACGTGAATTGCCAGAAAAACGAACAAATCTGTCTTGGAAGAAGTACAGCCAGAATGCTCCTTGGAAACGAAGTATTTTGGACGTGTTATCGAGAGGGACCAGTCCCTGGAGGAGGACATCATGCTTGGTAAAGTAGAGGGTCAGCGAAAAAGAGGAAGACCCTCAACGAGGTGGATTGACACAGTGGCTACAACAATGGGCTCAAACATAGCAATGATTGTGAGGATGGTGCAGGACCGGGCGGTGTTTTGATCTGTCGTACATAGGGTCACAGTGAGTTGGAACCAACTCAACGGCACCTAACAACAATGTGCAAGACCCAGAATGATTGGAAAAGTCTGCATAATA